TGCCCGGAATTGCGGGAGGTAGTATGATGTAAGTGAAATTTTTTTTTTGTTGCACTACTTATGATTGCCAGTGTATCTACTGTAACTATCCTTTATAATATATTAGTCTTCTTAGGTGCAGTTATAACCTTTAAAGGTAGGCTTGGGATCCAACTGTTACCTCCCTAAAATTTATTTTTTTCTATGTTTATAAACCACTTATAGAGAGCGTGATTATCAACTATTAGTAAGGAGAGGTAGACTGGATGAGCTTCCATCCACTAAACTACAAGAAATAGTTTGAATGTCAGAGAAATGGATTTGGGTAAGTGGGTTGTGGGCTGTTGGTAGACAGAAGTTCGTCTGATTGGCTAATAAATTCAATTTAATTTTGCATTATTTGTATAGTTTAAAGTACTTTTAGAAAAAATAAAACTACGAAGAATAAACAAAAAAGAAACATATAAAAAGTTTTATTAGGGTTTTAGGACTCCACATTAAAAATAAACTCAATTAATTTTGGTTTTAGAGAAGTTAGCAAAATAGCAACTTCTTAAAGATAGGTTATTACCACGCTAACTTCTCTAAACCCAAAATTGATTGAGTTTATTTTTAATGGTGGAGCCCTACAACCCTAATAAAACTTTTTATATGTTTTTTTTGTTTATTCTTCGTAGTTTTATTTTTTTCTAGAAAGTACTTTAAACTGTATAAATAATATAAAATTAAATTGAATTTATTAGCCAATTGGACGAACTTCTGTCTATGATGGCGAAATGGCTGTCGGTGAAGTAGTTGTCGGCAAAGTTTACCAAATCCATTACAGCTGTTTTCATAAATTCTGGGACACCTAAAAATTTTCTCGTTTCCCGAAATCTCTTCTATGGATCATCTAACTCTTCGGAAAATACATCGCTATCTCCGGAATGAAGTTCCGAAGGCAATGACGTGATTCCGGTGATCTTTAGGACGAAGCCGAAGAGATTTCGGGAAACAAGAAAATTTTTAGGTGTCCCAGAATTTATGAAAACAGCTGTAAAAATATTTGTAAACCATGCCCCAGACTAAAAGTTTATCACCACCGAATCAAAAATTTATCGAACCGGCCAAACAATCATTTAGTTAATTTTTTACCGGATGTCCCAGAATTTATAAGAACAGCTGTAATCAAACTCAACTAAATCGAAAAGAGCAATAAGTTTCGAAAACAATTTAAATTCTTACAATGTATAAGTAATAAGTAAGTGATTATTGGTTTGGGCTATTTTTATTAATGAGTTCCCAATTTATGAACGTCTGCCTGAAATATCATGATCGGTATATATATTTGTACAGTACGAAATTTATGGAAAAGACTGATCTTGTCAACCGATAAATCTTGTCAAGAAACATAAGGTTCCGGACATGAAATAAATTTTATAATAAGCATCATATTTCTGAGATATGCATGTAGTATTATAATATTACATACAAAATTATTTTTTAATTATTTTCATTTTTCGGGCCCTTATATGTAAATTCACTTAAATTTTATTCATGTGGGTTTGTTAGTTCAAAAGTTAGTACAGTTTGAATTTTACATGCTATTACAACTATTAACTATCGTTGATCTATAAAATGGATTGTGTAGCAATATGCAAATTACGCGAATATGCACAGATAGAATTGTGTATCCGACAAAATCTGACACAGAATTCAGATTTAGAAATGATTAGCTAACTCTTCAGTCTTTGATCTTTTGCTGTAGAGACCCAATTAATAAATGGTACTATCCCTTGCACTAAGGTGGTTGAATGGGTATGAGTCCAGTAATGGATTTAGAATTTTGGAACTTGAGAATTCATTAATAAAAATAGATTAATAATATACTGTAAATAGAACAGATAAATCGAATGAATCGAATAGAATAGCAAGTAAATTTATCTAAATAGAACAGATGAATCGAATCAAATATATAGAATAGCAAGTAAATTTACTCAATAAAATTCCCATTTATCAAAAAAGAACTATTATCTATCTAGATTAAGTGTCTATGCTACTATTAAACCTTTCAAAAAATCTTAGACTACCAGCAAAACATGTTTATATACAATGAATCACATGAATGCCCAACCACAGTTCCAAGAAAATTAAATTTGAGAAAATTTATAACAATTTTTTCACAAGGAGCTCAAGTCAATCTCAAGCGCGTATTGTTTAATACGCCTTGTAATCCAAGGTGGAACGCTTGTAGCAATCTTCCTGCCCGCATTACAAAAATTTTGCCTTTTTAAATCACCATACAAATCGGTAGGTACAACAAAATAGAAATTTATATCATCTTGGCATGACTCGCCACCCAATTTTTTGTACAATTTAATTAGCCCACATAGCTTGATTGGATGAATGGTGGAAATCGTTATTTGGAATAAGATGTTAGGTGCTATAAGAGCATCAATAGATGCAAAATTTTTTTTTTTTTGAGTTGACAATAGAATTGCTCTTGAATCTCGCCTATATCATTAAACATTAGTTTGCTTTTCTCAGATATTTCAATTACATTGATACTGGAATTAGTTCCTAAGGAACGAGTATTGAATTTTCCACCTTTTTGCAGGAACCGGTGGGCAAAATATTCAAATATATGCCCCCGGAGCGTGCCTAACTCTCCCTCCATAGAACTTGAAATTAAGAATTGTTTTAGGTTAAATTTATGCACTTTTTCTAGTTTCGATATTACTTTCTTAGCAACGTACTCCGAAGCAAATGTTATGATCATCTTTGTATATGGAGGATCTTCATTGCCTTTTCCATTCGGAATGTTTGTATTTATGTGAATAAGCTTATGGCTTATGTCATCCGAGCAATCTGTTTCTCCAATATAATGAAGGATCTTTTCATTAACAACATCTATCGCGTTTTGAAGATGATTTTGCTTTGCCTTATCCAAGACGTTCTCTAGAATGTACCGAGGAATACCTCCCCACTTTGAGTATAAACTTTTTACAGATGATAGTTTTAAATATTTAAATGCCCCATATCTACATGCTTGAATTTCTTCTAATAACCATATTGGTATATATCTTATGGTAGTTCCAATGTATTTATCGAATTCTTTATAATTGCCTTTTTTAGGCGAACATACAAGAACTGTTTTAGACTCGTATTCATTTGGTTCAATGCCATCGACAACGTACTAGACACCTGGATCATTTAGATATTGATTAAACCTGAATATGTCCTTGTCACCCATGACTTTTTCATTACTAAATAGAATTGAATCATTATTGACCTTATAGTATACTATTGTTTTATTTGTTTGGGATAATTGGTAAAGTAAGAAATATGAAAAAAAGTCTTTCCAATGCCTGGATTTCCTGTAATTCGTAATTTTCTTATTTTAGTATCAAAAACGATCTTTAGTAGATCAAAATAGCAGTCACGGGTATATATAATAGAAGGTTGTGATGATTTTCCTAGAAAATGGATGCCCTCTGCCAATCGTAAAAACATTTCGCTAATTGTTGCTTTTTTAAGTACTTTCCAAAATTTAATCAATTTCTGACAAACATTAGGAGGGTTTTCTTGCTAGTGAACAGGGCGAATCTCCTCTTTATATATGTCATTTGTTATTTCATTGAGTGGTCTTTTTTCATTCTATTACAAAAAAAATAAATGAATAAACATCAGTATTCTTTGTTATTTAATAAATAAAAGTACAGATTGTTGGCGAAATCAAGGGAGGTACATAGCACATTCCTTATCTAGAATTACCAGACCTTGATTTATGACCGGCAAATAATAATCACACCCACTATGCACATTAATTTAGTACAATTATACAGAACAAATGCTTCTCCTCTCTGTGTCGCAGAAACTGAGCATAGCAAGAGTGCTTTGCCACTTTCTAAGAACAAAGATAAAGTATAGGTTGTTGGCGAAATCAAGAGAAGTACATAGCACATTCCTCATCCGGAATTAGCAGACCTTGATTTATGACGACAAATGCAATCGCACCCATGGCTCATCACTATGCATGTTAATTTAGTACAATCGTACAAGACAAACACTTCTCCTCCCCGTGCCGCAGAAACTGGGCATAGCAAACTTGCTTGCTATGAGTGTTTTGCCACCTCGAAATCAAGGGAGGTACATAGCACATTCCTCATCCAGAATTAGCAGACCTTGATTTATAACGATAAATGCAATCGCACTCATGGCTCATCACTACAGTATGCACGTTAATTTAGTACAATCGTACAAGACAAATGCTTCTCCTCCCTGTGCTGCAGAAACTGGGCGTAGCAAACTTGCTTTTTGTTGTGAGTGCTTTGCCACCTTCTAAGAACGAAGAATAAAGTATATGTTGTTGGCGAAATCAAGGGAGATACATAGCCCATTCCTCATCTGGAATTAGCAGACCTTGATTTATGACCAACAAAATGCAGTCGCACCCACGGCTCATCACTATGCACATTAATTTAATACAATCGTACAAAACAAATGCTTCTTGCCGCAGAAACAAGATGTAGCAAACTTGCTTCTTGCTATGGGTGTTTTATCACCTTATAAGAATGAAGAATACTGACTTCAAGGGATCCATCTTGTTTAAAGTAATTTATGATTTTCTTATTTGATGTCTTTTTCTTACTCAATGTCTTTTTCTTAATCAATGTTTTTTTCTGCTGCCATTGTAATATAACATGTGTCAGTGTTTTCCTTAATAAATACAATCAAAGGAGGTATAACTCATTCTTCAAACCAAGGTAATTGCACCCATGGCCTAACAGAAATAGGGCATAGCAAATTAGCTATGGGTAAAATACTGACATTTTTTGGACTTTTTGGCATACTTATTCGATGACACACGCGGCTGGTGAATGAGACGTGGCGTTAGGGTGATCATTAAACTAATATAAGATCAACATTATTTATAGTCGCATTCATAGGCTAAAGCCAACAGGAGGAAACGTTGAAGTTACACAACTGGTTTTTCACACGGTGTGAAACACATAAAAAAATTATTTTACAATACTTGATCGGACTTGGTCAGTCAGCTAGTACATG